CCCCCTCTGGGCCCCCCCCCAGCCTCTGGTCTGGCCCAGCCCAGGCACAGTCGGGGTAACCGCCTCCTCCCCCACAGAGCAAGACAGATGCTCAGCCAGCTCCGCTCTGCACCAGGCACGCAGCCCCCCAGGTGAATGCAGCCTACTCTGTAAGCTCCCATGGAGTCCACCCCCTTCTCAATGAAAGGGAGGGGCACAGTGCTGGCTCCCCCACCCCACTGGGCTTGCTCAGAAACAAGCGCTCGAGCAAGTGAGGCGGCAGGTGCCAATTCTTCCCCTCAGAGCTTTGGGCAGTTGCTGCCAGGTCTCTTCAAGTGGGGGGAGGGAGGCCATTTCAAAGGCCAGTTAAAGACAAAGCCCGATTGCTCCCCCCCCCGCCCCAGATGGGAGCCCTTTGTTTAGACTCCCCGTCCCCCTGGGAATGTACCCCAGGACCAGCTGGCATGGTCACGGCTTTCTGGGACCAACCACAGTTTGGGCTCACAGGAAAACTAAAATAGTGATAGAAATGCAGCCGGGTTAGTCTGGTGTAGCTGGAACAAACGACAGGACGAGGTAGCACTTTAAAGACTACTTAGTCGTGGGCCAGACCCACTTCCCACGAAAGCTCATCACCTGATAAACCATCTTGTTAGTCTTTAAAGTGCTGCATAGTCCTGGCTTTTGTTTCAGGAAAACTAAAACTATTCATGGGGCCTTGGTCTGAGTACTGAGCCATTATGCTCTTAACTATGGCTAATGGGCCTCATTAGCACCTTTCCAATTAAAACTAGATTTACATCCTACTTCTAACTTCACATGCAAGAATGATACAAGCATAAAAATAGGAGACACACATTCCGCAGACCAACTTTAAAATGTGTGTGTTACATGGTCATTTTGCATAAAACATATTTGGCTTTGTATATTTATACTCAGAGGCCAACTTTCAAAAAGCAAGGGAGGGGCTGTGACACTGGTGTCATCCTAAATCAATTTTCCCTGAGGTCTTTGCTGTAATGTGACAGAAGATAAAAGCAGCCAGTATGGAAGCACTGAGCAAGACCCAAGTTTGCAGGCATGGGCGTTACGAGACAACGGGCTGGCGTTATGACACAGAGGGCGGGTATGGGCGGTATGAGACAGCAGGAGGGCGTTACGAGGCAGCGGGCGGGCGGGGGCGTTACTAGAAGCCCCCTAAGAAGGGAGTGAGGCTTGAACGGTTTGGGCCAGTTCTACGTAGCACACCGATTAGGGAGCCGCGCAAGCATCAGCAGCTCACTACAGCCCTGGAGGCAGGGCCGTGGTACCAGTCCCATTTCATAGATAGGACTGGGTCCCAGAGAGACTGACTAGGCTCAAACAGTACGTCTGGCAGAGCTAGACAAACTCAGCTCTTGCGTCCCAGAGCGGTAAGCACGAGCCCAGCCTTCCACCCTATGCCGTGCAGTCAGCCCCTTACCTCCTCCTGCGGCCGGATTGGCCAGTTCTGATGTTGTCATCTGTGATATCATAATGCAGGGGAAATGAAACATGCCATTAGGGGAACTAATCGACACTGAAGCCATCAGAGCACGATTGGAACGTGGCTCTCACACATCAGAGAGGGGAAGTCCAACCTGCTCTTGGCAAAATCTACAGGTGTCGCCTCGCTGGTCTTTAACGGGACCCTCGATCCGGATCGCATGCTCCTGCCGAAAAGGAACAGGGCAGGGCCAGGAAAGTTGGAGGAAGCAGATTTCACTGTAGCTGGGAAGCAGGATGTGCCGCTCACTAGGACAGGAGCAAGGCCATGCACCTCTCTCCTAAGCTCTGCGTGGCCCAGGGGGTTGGGGCGGTGCCCCGTCACAAGTTCCGGCTGCCCCTTGGTGACTCCCTCGCAGCACGGCACGGACAGAATCACGTCTCAGGGATTCCTTGGTCCACCGTCGCCTTTTGGGCACCCCCCCACCCCGGGGCTCCGCTTCAAACGGCCTCTGAACTGAACACAGCCCACCTAGCGACAGCGGGAGAGAGGAAGAGTCGTCCTGTCCATCCACGGCTCTGCCAACAGGAGTAACATCTCCACCCTCCCCTTCGCTGGCCGCCGCCCAAAGAGCAGGGAGCTGGTCACCTGCGAGAAGGGCTGGAGATGAGGCCAGTAAAATCAGGCTATGCCAGTTGGTGTCTACGTGTCTGGGTGCCTCTTACAAGCTTGAGGCGGGAGTGGAGGACAGTTCCAGAAGGCTATCTGGAAGGGGTGAGTCCTGCAGAGGGGAACAGGCCCCATCTGTTGACCTCTCAGGTGGATGCGTGGCTGACATGCTTGGTGAGGACAGATGACACATGCTGACCGGTGGGGAGGGGAGAGGCATGATGGGGCCTCCAGCTGCTGGGAAGAGGACTTTTCCTCTTCATTCTGAGCACAGGTGGAAGGGAACCTCGTGTTCCCTTTGGGCACATCACAAAGCTGCCTGCAGACGTAGGACCGACAATGGGGGTGAGCCTCACGTCCTCTCCACTCCAGCAGCTGCCCGTGGACAGTGAACAGGAGCCTCCTCATGCTGCCCTGAAATGGCGCTCTCCATCTCCACACCTAGCTGGCCACTGAAACAGAGGTGCCAATCAGTGAGCGTTACAAGCATGGAACTGGATGGCTCTGTGGGCTTGCTAAAAGGAGGCAGAGCCTGGCACCTCCTTGTGCAGGTTCAAACCCACTCGAGTTGGCACTAGCCAGTTATTCCCATAAGTGTTACAGTTTTACGCCTTCCACTTGCTCCGCACTTTTTCAAGCAAGCTCCCTCCAGCTGCCTCTCATACTTATCGAGAATTTCCCATAAATCCCTGCAAACCTACCTCATTATCCCTGTCCCCCCTCCCCCCACTTTATGAAAATTGGCTTGAGTAAGAATACACACAACTGGCAGACGTGTTAGGCAAAGTGCATCATGTAATGGGGCCTTTTTCAAGTAACGAGCTGCTGAATATGTATATTCTATTTCTGTGTATGTATCATTCTGGCATGAGACATTGGGAACATGAACTGCCAACCTGTTTTATTAATCTAAGTCTTCTAGTGAAAGCCATTGGTGATACTCAAAAAGACCATGCCACCTGCTGGGTCCAAGAAAGACATGTGATCATGGCACCTGGTGCTGGACTCCATCTTGAATCTGGTATTTTCCCCATGTGGAGGAGAATCGCAGAAAATTTAAAAACCATTTTCCAGGCTTTTTTTTCTGGTTCTTACCTGGAAAGAAGTTAATTGACAAATAATCTGAGCCTATTCCTGAGAAAAATCTGGCCCAGATTTGCAGACAGGAACATGGGCGTTGCCAGACTGGATAAAATTCAAATTTTATCTAGTACAGTGTCCTATCTCCAATAATAGTCAGTACCAAAGAACTCAGAGGAAGATGTGAGAACTCTGAAGTAGGCAAATCAGTCCTCTGCATTTTCTCATCCTGATTTCCTTAGGTTAAATTGATTGAAGCCCTAAAGCATGAACCTTAAGATCCCTTCCTAAATTTGTTGTTAATTATAGCTGGAAAGTCAAGTATATCTGAACAAAAACTTGGAACACCATTTTCCTATGCCACAGAGTTTGTCATTATTTTTGTAGCAATTGGTAACTGTATCTATTGTAAGTTTATAATACTATGGCTATAATTTGGTGTTCTCCATGGCCACTGAAGGTAGGAGAAAAATAATGGAGTTAATCTGCAGCAAGTGAGTTTTAGGTTAGATACTAGCAAAATCTTTGTCATTACAAGGATAGTTAAGCTCTTTAATAGGCTTCCAAGGGAGATTTTGGAATCCCCTTCACTGGTTGGACTGAGCTGAGCTGTCAGGGATGGCCTAGTTACTTGGTCTTGCTTTAGTGAGGGAGCTGAACTTGATGACTCCTTGATGTCCCTTCCAACCCTTCATTTCTGTTATCCAATAGCCTAATATTAGATTTTTTAGAAATAGTGTGGGAGAAATCAGGTTTGCCAAGGAGAAAATGACTTAAATGACGAGTATCAGAATGTTTCAGTGCTCCTAAAAACAACAACAAACTTTAGCATTTAGCCTACTTTTAAAATGGTCAGTGAAACTTTAAATAAAAATTCAAATGTGGATAGCAAAAATGAGTCCTGTGGCACCTTAAAGAGAAACAGATATACCGGCTTATCAAGTGTAGGACCAGCGTTAACGAGGCCAATTCAGTCAGGGAAGATTTGGGTCACTCCCACCAGTTGATGGGGAGATGTGAATACCAAGAGAAGGAAAATGTAGACTGAATTATGCTGGCTTGATTTGGTGTCTGTTCATGTGCTTAATCCTCTTAAAAGAATTCTTTTCTTACTAGGCACGAGGGAAAAAACGACAGATAGGATGGTTCCCTGCTAACTATGTAAAACTTTTAAGTCCTGGTACCAGTAAAACTACACCAACTGAGCCACCTAAATCAACAGTATTACCTTCCGGTAAGTAATATTTAATACATTTTAATAACTGGTGTCACTTGTGGTATAGAATTGGACATTCCTAGGGAATTAAATTACATTGTACTATTGGGTTTCAGAGTTCCTTTATAAAATGTTTGTCTCCCCTGATTTTCCAAAGATGATAAATAAAGGCTCAGATACCTCCTCTATCAGCTCCTTGAGTATTCCAGGATGCATTTAATCAGGCCCTGCTGACTTGCAGACATCTAACTTTTCTAGGTGATTTTTAACTTGTCCTTTTTTTATTTTATCTTCTAAACCTATCCCCTTCCCACTAACATTCCATATGTTAGGCATTCGTTCAGATGTTACTGTTTCTCCCTCCTCACTGACCAGTGGGCCTACCCTGTCCTTGGTCTTCCTCTTGCTTCTAATGTATTTATAAAAAGTCGTCTTGTTTCCCTTTTTTCCCCCCGTAGCTAGTTTGAGCTCATTTTGTGCCTTTGCCTTTCTAATCTTGCCCCTGCATTCCTGTGTTGTTTGCCTATATTCACCCTTTGTAATTTGTCCTACTTTCCATTTTTGATATGACTCCCTTTTTATTTTTAGATCATGCAAGATCTCGTGGTGAAGCCAAGGCGGTCTTTTGCCATATTTTCTATCTTTCTGACATAGCGGAATAGCTTGCTTTTGGGCCCTTAACAATGTCCCTTTGAGAAACTGCCAACTCTCCTCAGTGGTTTTTCCCCCTTAGTCTTGATTCCCATGGGACCTTACCGATCCAGCTCTCTGAGCTTATCAAAATCCGCCTTCCTGAAATCCATTGTCTGTTTTTCTGTTCTCCCTTCTATCCTTCCTTAGAATTGTGAACTCTATGATTTCATGATCACTTTCACCCAAGCTGCCTTCCACTTTCAAATTCTCAACCAGTTCCTCCCTATTTGTTAGGATCAAATCTAGAACAGCTTCCCCCGGTAGCTTTTTCAACCTTCTGAAATAAAAAGTTGTCTCCAATGCAGCCCAAGAACTTATTGGATAGTCTGTGCCCCACTGTGTTATTTTCCCAACATATATCTGGACAGTTGAAGTCCCCCATCACCACCAAATCTTGGGCTTTGGATGATTTTGTTAGTGGTTTAAAAAAAAAAGCCTCACCTACTTCTTCCACCTGGGTAGTGGCCTCTGGTAGACTCCTAGCATGACAACACCCTTGTTTTTAATCCCTTTTAGCCTAACCCAGAGACTCTCAACACTTCCGTCTCCTATGCCCATCTCCACCTCACACCAAGTGTGTTCATTTTTAATATATAAGGCAACACCTCCTCCCTTTTTTCTCTGTCTATCCTTCCTGAGCAAGCTGTATCCTTCTACACAAACATTCCAATCATGTGCTAACTAAGGGGTTCCTACCCTGGGGAAAGTTTATTTAAGAAATGGAAGCCAATCAGCCTTATCTTCAGTTGGCCTTTGAAACAGCCTCCCCACCCTCGGAGGACACACACGAAGAGATCTGGAAACAAACAAAGAACTCCAAGGACACAAGGAGATGTAGACCCAGGCCAGAGAAAGATCAACTCTGTCTTGAAGCATTTTACCTGAAATAAGGAGAAGGGCGAGAAATGTACTTGGAATGATTTCTCTGGGTGTCTTAGGCTTAACTGGTGTGTTTTATTTATTCTGGCTCAGTAACTTGCTTGGTTTTGTCTGTTTTCACCCGCAATCACTTAATTCCTGCTTTGCCTACTTCATAAAAACAGTTTTTTAGGATCAAACCCAGTGCAAATAACTGTTCTGGTGAGGCGGGGTGCACCTCTCTCTTGGGGGGCTGTGTTCATAGGTGCGGTCAAGGCCCGATAGCTGAGCCTGTTCAGAATCTCTGTGTTTGCAGCCCCAGTAGAGGAAAGTCACAGGAGTGACTGTGCAGTGAGGTGACTCCCCTTCTGGGTTATGAACAACTGGGGCTTTAGTATTAAAAACACTTCCCTCTCACTGGCTCTGTCAATGCCGTGCGCCAGGAGCCCACCTGAGAAATGCAGTACCAAAGCCAAAGGGACCGGGTAGAAAGAACCATTGTTAAAGATACACCCACGCAGTCAGAATTCAGTCACGAACAGACTGCCAAACAGGTCATTCCCACGCACAGGGGGTGTCTCGCAGCCGCTGCTTTGCACAGATTCACACACATTCCATTTCTACGCTAGCCTGGCGGAGGCCGTGCCTACTTCACTGCATCTTACTGGGAAAGAAAAGGCCTATAAACATTGTAAACGTACTGCATGGGGCATTCACTAACCAATTTCACAGTCAGACACAAAGAAGCTAAATGTACCAGCTCAGATGGCCAAGGCAATAGGGTAAACAAAGGCAGCTGTGAATGACAGTCACATGTCTGTATTTCATAGGAACCAGGATATGATTCATGATGCAAATATTGACAGATGGAGAATGACACCAAATTCCTACCTTCCTGATCAAGAAACTGAAAGCAGCTTGGAGCAAGTACTGCGCCTGCCTCACACATTCACTTAGCTCTTCACTCAGCTGGTGTCTGACTGGCCCTACTTGGAATTGTAACTCACAGGCCCTACTTGGAAATAAACACTACCCCAACCAGAAAATTCAGGGCCTGTCTACGTGAAAGCCAGGCTGGGCCAGTGTGCCCGCCACATCCACTTACAGCCCTTCTGGCTTCAGGGACCATTGAAAAGCTTGTGCAAAAGGTCACAGGTGGCAGAGCTGCAAACGAGGTTTGGTAAGTTCTTGCTACTGGTGACAACCAGGGAATTAAGAGACCAAAACCAACAAATGCTCCTCTGGATGGGGAAAGGAACCTGTAATGAAAGGTCCGGTTGCTTGCAAGATGCTCAGACACCACGAAGGCGAGGTGTACAAAACACAGCAGAAGCAGTAAGTTGTCAATAGAGAATACCTACCTCCCTCTTCTAGGATTCCTCCCTTCCATAACCCTCCTCTGCTTTACACTGGTCAGAAGCGGGAAAGAGAGCTCCAGTGTGGCATTATCTACTAGATATCTGAGAGTTTGTGCAGCTGTCTGTCTGCAGGCCCATCCACCTGAAGTCTGCTTGTTCAAGCGCTCCTCCTGAACAGTGAGCGCATGGAGCCCCCAACTCAGTCTGCAGCTTCCTCTTAACTAAAGCAAGGCCAGGGTTCGGCTGTGCCAGGACAATGGGATGTGTCTGGACTGGGCTTGCTCCCCGTCCAACGGAGCTAGCCGGGACAATTCTACGCCTGAATGACCATCGGGAGCAGCAAGTCAGTCGAGGGCCACACACAAGGGAGAAGCCCCCCAACCCTTGCTGACCTGGCCCTCACAGATGTGGGCCCCACTGAGGCAGGAAGACCCTCTCCTCGCCCTCCTCGAGTTCAGTGCTCAGGAGCAGACCGCAGGTGGGGGGTCAGCAGCAGGAGGGGACAGGGGATTGGGGGATGCTGAAGAGGCCTTTAGTTGAACACAAAAGCCGCCCCTCTCACAGAGCTCCGCCTGCCTCTGTGGGCCCGGCCGGGAGTTGCCACGCACACGCTGAGCTGCATTTTGAGATGGCTAATTCCGGGGAAAGTCATGAGACTCCGTAAATCACAAATGTGGTGGAAGTAGTGTCAGACACTGACGTAGGCCTCTTCAGATTCATGGTCCCTCTCCCCCTCGCCCAGACACTAGCCTCCAACTCCGCAGCGTCCAACCAGTTCCACACTGTTCAAGCCAACTAGCCACATATGGCTACGGTGTTGGACACCACGGCTCTGGCTCTTTCCCACCCACCTCCTCATGCCTTGCTCACGGTGGCAGCATGGAAAGGGATAGCTTTCACATCACCAGAGCAGCTCATCCATCTGCCCTCACACATCCTGCTTAGCTCAGCCTTGTTTTCGAGTGAGGGTGGTTTAATGCAGGTTTTTAGGCAATATTGCAGCCAGGGCGTGCTTCTCTGAGAAAGAGCCGAGAGGATGAAAAGTCTAGGCGAGGGCAGGAGTGCCAACACAGACCAGTACCTTCGTAGGGTTCTCCCCCCACAGCAAAAACTGACACTATTCACAGGGGTGCTACTGACCTGAAAACGTCACTCCCAGAACCAATATGGTTACCTGATTCTGAGTCAAGAGACGTGGCTGGCTCCAGACAGAACACAGAAGCTTGCTGACAAAATGCCCAATATAAACAAACACTGGTGCAACCGGGAAATGGTGTGTTACGATTTAATAATAATCATACTATTTCAAAACCAACAAGAGAGTGCGCTGTACACAAGATCTGATACTCAGTGCTTGTTACTGGCCGTCTGCTCTGGGCCAGTGTACTGTAGACTCGGGTGGTGGGAAGTGGATTAAAAACCCAGCTGGGACATTTCTCCAAGGCGGGAGGAGAGGGGCAGGTCAGAGGTTCAGAATCGGACAAACGTGGCATCAATCTGCCGGACGGACGGGAGCGCCAGCATGATTTTGCGCCGGTACTGAGGATCCTTCTGCAGGGGATTTCTCTCCAGATACACGGTTTCCAAATTCTTGGCTCCCTTCAGCTCGTCCAGGTCGCTCCAGCTCTCAATGAGATTGTCATTCATCTGTGAAGCACACACACAGTCCCAGCAAAGCTTCCTTACTGAGCACATAACCCAGACAGACAGTGCTCACCAGGAGTCTCCTGTTCCAAGAGCTGCACGATTTCCAGCCAGCCCCTCAGCGGGAAGCCTCGATGAGCCTTCCCAGCCCCCGCTCCTTCACTGACACCCACCACCGTGCCCGCCCCTTGCACCGAATAACCACAATTCAGCCTGAACGGCTGCCACATACCTGGCCTGTTTACACGGTCCAGAGACGGCACCTCCTGGATCTCTCGCCTGCCGCACCCCACAGCAAAGCTTCCCTCCCTCCTGGCGTCTCCTGCCAGCTCTGCGGTTCTGGCCCCGAGGGTCCCCTTTGCTACTGCCCCCTACTGACAGGGCAAAGCTTGAGCTCCCCAGTCTAAGGGCCCCGCCCTGCCCCAGGCAGGACACTCCCCCGGGGGTGGAAACGCTGAGCCGCACGTCAGCTGGTTCTCTCTCCCTGACTCCCAGCCTAAGGCCTGCTCAGATCCGAGTGCCCTCTACAGCGAAGGCCTCGTACCTCCCACTGCAGCCAGACCTGCACCGGGCTAGCTGGCCTCCACAGCTGGGCTCCTTGCTGCTCAGAAGACACTGCGAGGCAGGAGGGCTTCCACGGCACAGGCTCCCTGCATGCAACTGCAGGCTGGCGGGGGGGATCCCACATTTGCTGCTGGCCGAGTCCCAGTGCGGGTGTCAGAGGAAGGGAGGAGCGTTACCATGCAGCCAGTGCGCAAGCTCCAGCTCTCCCTCGCTCCTGCAAGCGGAGCTGGAAGGCGCAGCAGCAACACGTAAGGGAGCGGACCTCTGCAGCGCGCTGCTCCCCACGCGGGCGGGGCCCTGTCCGAGCTGGGGGGCACATTGCTCTACTGCATCCCGCTGAAGAACAAACTCCTTTCTTCTCCCGCCTCCTGCAAGCCTGGCTCCCCCTCGGGAAGTCCCTGGGGTCCTCTGGCAGAGGGAGAGGGTGCCCCAGCAGACATTCCCAGCCAGAGCAGCAGGGCTGAAGCATGGGGCTTAGAACCGGGCCTGGCGCACGCACTGTTCATTCTGCATAACTCTGAGCTGACTCAGTTCAAGCTCTACGCAGAGAGCAGGCTGGGAGGGGGTCTTCTTTTGGGTTTGGATCAGCTCTGGCTGGTGAAAGTGATTTGGGGCACCACAGACCCCTCCCCCCGCAGATCTGAAACGGCACCCTGGGGAGCCAGGAACAGCCAGAGGGCTGTGAGCTGTGGCAAGGTGCAGCTCCCACGGGACAGCACAAAGCACCCCTAGAGCCACATCCCCTGCTCTGTGCGGCTTGGAAGCTGGTCTCTTTCACCAACCATATCTGGCCCAAGCAAAGGCTTTACCTCACCCACCTTGTGACACACCCTGGTGCACCACAGCAAAACCCACTAAGTGTCAATACCACGTCAGGCTATACAAGACAAATACCCTCACAGCAGACGAGTCCTCGATTTACCTATTCATTCACTAGTCCATTTGTAACAGCCCAGGCCAGAAATTCATATCACTGAATTTGGATTTCTAAGATTCTCAAGCAGCACTTCCCTGTCGGTACGTTTCAACGGTTACTGATGCACGGGCGCGCATTACCGACCCGAGCGGGCGTGCGGATGCGCTGAAATGAACAGCTCATTTCTGAGTTATCCACAAAGAAACACCCCTGGAGTTTTCAGGTGCTGCACTGTCCCCTGGAGTTGTGGTAAAAAGTTGCTCACATCTGCAATGGTGCGCGGCCAGCCAGGAGCAGCCAGAGGGTTATGGATCTGACAAGATGCAGCTCCCGTGACAGCCTGAAGCCCGCCTTGATTTCAGTAGCGGGCTCCTCACAAAGGCCGAGGCCTATAAAAGCAGGGCGCTCCCTTTCCTTCCCGAGGAAGGCAACACCAGCAGCTGGAGCACCTGCGTCTTCTGGGAGCAAAACCTTGGGCAGGGTCTAGGGACGCGAGAAGAATCGCTCGCGTTCTGCACTTGCAAGCAATGTGCAGTGTCCCACTTGAAGGGCTGCAGAAGGCCCCTTCGTAGGATGCCGGAGCTCCTTGGCCACGTGGGAACCACAAAGCTAACTAATGCGGCCTCTGAAAGCTCTTGGACAGCGCTTTTCCAGCCCTTGAGCAAGCAGCCTGTCTACTGGATTCTGGCTTGATCTCACGTCCCATTACCTCCCAACCCTGCAGCCAAGGGCTCAGACAGCAAAACGCTCCAAAAGGGAGAAACGTGCCAGAGAGCTGAGACTCATGGCACACCCACAGCAGGGTGGTGAGCCTGCACTAGCAGAGCAAGGGCTGACAGCCCCTCGCTGAACACGTACTCTAGGGTGCGGCTGGAGTACCTGCTCCTCTGTTCAAACTGCTTTCTTCCTGGCACACTGCAGAAAGAAGAGGCAGGGCTTGGCCGGGCCGGGCGCCAGCAGCCAGCGCAGACCAGTCTGATCGTCTGGCCAGCAGGAGCTGAATGCTCCAAGCAGTAACCAGGAACTGACCAGACTGACTCTGCTCTGGCATTGTGGCTCACCGCTGCACCAAGACGCACGGTCTCTGCTTCCATTCCTCTGCCTCAGCGCCACCTCTAACGGCAGAGAAACTGTCCTTCAAAGCAGGGTGACAGCTGGAGCGCAGGGGTGGGCACCCGACCTAACGAAGGGCCTGCGACTCTCCAAGGAGACACTCGGGTGGAACTGGAACTGGCACTGCAGAGCGATCAGCCCGGCCGGTACTTACCCAGAACTCCTGGAGCTCCGTTAGATGGCTGACATTTTCAATCTTTTTGATCCTATTGGATGCAATGTCCAGCATTGTAAGTTTGTTCTAAAACAAGCAAACAACAACGTTACCCTCGGCTGCCCTGCTCTGATCCCCAGGGCTGAGAACTGGGAGCAGCACAGGTGGCACCTCTGCCCGCTGGCTCTAGGGTTAGCTAGCAACAGCGCAACTGGCAAAGCAGGTGCCAATTCAAAAGGTGATGGGGCACAGGGCTTGCTAACAAGGAGCCCCAGCTGCTGCATGCCGGGCTCCCACTCCCCTAGCCCCTTTTCCTCTCCATCCCCCATTCCCCCATTTCCCACCCCAGTGCTCACTGTGCCACAGGAAAACAGCCAGGCTCCCAGCCAGCACACAGAAGGGGAGCACAACTGGCACTAGGACCCCAGCTGCCAGAGTGGGCAGCTGTGTACTTACAGAAATGGGGGGGTTGCAATGGCACAAGCCCTTGTCTCACCTCTGCTGTGGGGAGGGAAATCGACCCCCCCCAAAACTGCACATGATCATCCTGCCCCCCCTTCCCTTCGCTTCCCTGTTGCCTTCTGCAGGCGGGCGGGCAGGCAGGACCCCCCCCATAGAAATATGCAGGTGATCTGATCTCCACGGGCGGCTCACATCGCCACCTACTGGTTACAGGGCATGGAAGCATCACCGCCCCCCCCAGGGCAATCCAAGGCAGAACTACAGCGAGGTGGCTGGATTTAAAGAGCAGGACAGCAGGGTTTGCCTCTCCGGACCTCTGACAACTCAGCCATTTCTGGAGCCTTGGCGAGGCACTCCCAGCTACCGCCTGCGGGTCCCATTCCGCTGGCCACGCGCCATTAGGCCTCCCTGTGCTACTTACCAGTCAGATTGTTCCAGTAAGAGCTTGCAGGCTCCCTCTAGCTAGTCCAGACTGACTGGGAAACATGCATGTTCCCAGACAGAAAAGGAGGCAGCTCAGGCTGCTCTGTTCTTTCAGCGTAACACAGTCTACACAGGTTTCCAAGAAGCTCTGCTTTCCTTGGGTAACTCAAGGAAAACAGGAACTTCTCGGCAACACCCAAGACAGACAAGCCCAGCCACTCTCGAAGCACTGGGAGGCCTTGAGGAAAGCTAACAAGATGCTCACATTGTTCTCCAGTCCCTCGAGGACTTCTACGCCGTTGTGGCTAAGGTACAACTCACGGAGATTCACCAGGTTCTGCAGACCCTCGATCTTGGTCAGCCGGTTGCTCTGAAATTGTATGGGAGGGAGTGAAAGTCCAGGCCAAAGAAATGAACCCAGAGTGAACTCTTACACAAGAAAAACATCTCAAGAACCTTTCTACAGAGCACAGATCATTTGGACAAAAACCAGAGCACATGGGAAGGCAGGATTTTGCCTGTTGCAGAGGAAGGAACTGCACAGCACTGTACTTGATGGATCTGGGACACTCAATTGCTTTGAAACTTTTGTAGCCAACTCTCAAGCAAGTTCCAGGTGAGCCAGAGTCCCTTCAAACCTGCAGGATCTCAGATTCTGTCCCTACTTCTGACAGCTGCAGCCCTGGAGGCCTTCTCTGATTAGCCCCTTTAGAAGACCAGGCCCAGTTGCCAACAGCACTCATTGAGATTGCACTTGACCAGCTAGAGAAGAGGAAGATGTAGCAGCTGTAAACAAAGGCCCAATACATCTGTTATGCACTTCCTGGTCTGTCATACAACTAGGCTTTTACTGGCAGTCAGATACTGTGAGCATGAATGCCTGCCCATTGTACCACTAGCTGGAACCTGTGTGCAGAGGAAGGGCTGACCCAGACGAAGGCTTTAGTAGAGCTGCTTTGGGACCAAACTTAACAAATTGGTAATAAGAGAAATGAGTCATCAGGGCCAGACAGCATTTATCCACCCAGGAACTCCAATGTGAAACGGGAGCCCTACTCCCTGGAGCTTGCAGCCTATCGTGCACCAGTGGCTGAGCCAGATGTTTGGAGGATAGTGAAGGGGCCATCCATTTTTGAAAAAAGGTGACCCCAGCAGTTACAGGTCCATAACCCTAACACCAGTATCAGGCAAGCTGATCGGCACAGAAGCACCAGGTATGTGGATGGAAGGATTTGTTGGGGAAGAGTCCACATGGATTTTGTAAAGGGAAGTCAGGCCTCACCAACCTACTCGACCTCTGTAAGGGGGTCGTCAAGCCTGTGGCAAGGGGAGCCTGTGGACATGGGGAGGGACCTTGTCAAAAGCTTTACACTAAAGGCTCTTAAGCACAGTCAGCTGTCATGGGGCAAGGGGGACAGTCCTCCCATGGATTACAAACTGGTTACAAGACAGGAAACAAAGGGTAGGAATACATGGAAATTCTCTACATTCTGGAAAGCAGCCAAGTAGTGACCCCAGCAGGCCATGCTGGGCCCAGTCCTATTCAACATTCATAAATGGTCAGGCAAAAAGGGTAGACATTAACTTGGCCCAATTCGCAAAGGACACAAAAACTACTCAAGATACTTAAGTCACAAGCAGACTGAAGAGCTACAAAAGGATCTCACAGAACTAGGTAACTGGGCAACAAAATGGCAAAGGAAATACAATATTGATAAATGCAAAGTAGTGCCCATTGGAAAACAATCCCAATTATACATATAAAAGGGTGGGGCCTAAATTAGCGGTTACCATTCGAGAACGATCTTGGAGTCACTGTGGATAGTTCTCTGAAAATACCCACTCAATGTACAGCAGCAATCGAGAAAGGTACAAGAATGTTGGGAATTCATTAGGGGACAGATAAGATAGAACACATCTTATTGCTGCTATAGAAATGCATGGTATGCCCACATCTTGAATACTGGGTGCAGATTTATTTTAAAATGGTAACCGGTTAACCGCTAGGTTTGACTGCTTAACCTTGTATTAGGAAAAGGAGCAAATACCACTTCCTTATTTACTTTCTCCACACCAGTCGTGATTGTATAGACCTCGGTCATAGCTCCTATTAGGCATCTCTTTTCCAAACTGAAAAGGCCGTCATCCTACTATCTCCTCGTCTGGCAGCCATTTCATACTAATAGTCATTTGTGTTGCTCTTTTATGTACCTTTCTCTGGTCCCAATGTGTATTTTTGAGATGGAGCAATCACATCTGCACTAGGCATATAAAGGCTTAACCGGTTAACCAGTTACCTTATCGGGTGATGCTTATGGGTAACCGGTTAACTGGCAGCAGCTGGGCTGGAGAGGTGAAGCAGGTCAGGTACAGCCCACACGTGAAGAAAGCAGGTAAGGAAGTGCTGTTTAACACAAGAGCTAGGGGATCTCCAAACGACATTAAAAAGCAGTAGGGTTATATCAAAAGGAGACATTTTGACATTTGTCAAAGGAGACACTTGTCTAGAGAACATGACCTATGAGGGAAGGCTGAAAGAATTGGGTTTGTTTAGTTTAGAAAAGAAGACTGAGGGGGGACTTGATGGCAGTTTTCAGATATCTAAAAGGGTGTCACAAGGAGAAGGGAGAAAACTTGTTCATCTTGGCCTCTGAGGACAGGACAAGCAGCAAGGGGCTTAAACTGCAGCAAGGGAGGTTTAGGTTGGACATTAGGAAAAAGTTCCTAACTGTCAAGGTGGTTAAACACTGGAATAAATTGCCCAGGGAGGTGGTGGAATCCCCATCTGTGGAGATATTTAAGAGCAGGTTAGATAAATGTCTACCAGGGATGGTCTAGACCATGGGTTCCCAAATTGGGGGGCATGAAGAAATTCCGGGGGGAGGGGGCACAAGGCAACCCAGCTACCCCCCCCCCCTCCAAGTTTTGCTGCTATTTGTGTTTTTGGCCCCAGTCAGGTTTTTTTTGGTTAACAAGTTTTGCTGCTTTTTTTTGGGGGGGGGGGGGGGGG